TTTGATGTTGACTCCCAATTGCCGTGGCCAATTGCCCAATTTGTTGCTCCATCGACTTCATTTGATTCTCTAACGACTTCATGTGAGTCTCCATTGAAGCAACTCGTGCGTCATTTGAACTAATATAATTGTCGATTCTATTAATGAATCTTTCGAACATATCCTTCAATGACTGCTTCTTCGGCTCATTGATGACCCCATTAGTTGTCGAAAATCCCGGGGGTGGTTGTGAAGCATTATTCGGATTTGCATATGAAAAATTGGGGTGATTCCGGTTGCCTTGGTAATACGTGTTTCCCACTTGAGTTTCTCAAAAATTTCCAAAATTTCGATTATTAATATAATCCATGTACTCGACCGGTTCCCCAACTCCTACGCTCCAGTCTTTCCTCTTTGCAAGTTATTTATCAACAGTGCTGCTAGTTGAGCTGCAATCGATGACGTTGAGGTCGTCTCATTAGTCACCGCAACCCTCCTAAGCACAGTTCTCTCAACCGGCCACTAGTAGCTATTCGAAGCCATCTCCTCAAGAATTCACTTTGCGTCCTTTGGTCTCCATCCCAAGAGAGCGCCTCCAGCTGAGGCATCCACCACGGCCTTCATCGGGCCACTCAATCCATTGTAGAAGTTGCAAATTTGGTGCTCCTCCGAAAAACCATGCTGTGGGCACGTCCGAAGGAGTTGCGTGTAGTGCTCCCAAGCCTCAAATAAAGGCTCGCCATCTTGTTTCTTGAATTGAGTGATCTCCGTCTGAAGTCTCAACATCTTACTCGGTGGGAAGAACTTCAAGAGAAATTTCTGATGCATTTCCTCCCATGATGTCACCATCCCAGCTTCAAGAGAATTGTACCAAACCTTCGCCTTATCTCTGAGAGAGAAAGAGAAAAGGCGGAGGCGAATAGCGTCCTCCGGAACTCCATTGTACTTCACAGTACTGCATATCTCCAGAAATGGCGCCAAGTGCGCATTCGGGTCCTCGATAGCACCTCCCCCAAACTGCTATTGTTGAACCATCCGAATCAAGGACGTGTTCAACTTAAAAGTATTAGCCGCAATTCTCGGTCTGTGACCGCCTCCATATTCTTGGTCCGCTTGAGGTTGGAAGATGCTCCGGACCAGTGGTCCCGTCTCCTGTTGAGCCTGATGCTCGGCTAGCTGGTGTTGTAGCTCCGCCAGTTGCGCTTGAAGCTGCGTAAACACTCATCACCTTGATCCTCCATCGCGCTTTTCAGTCATTGTTGTAGCCTCCGATTCGCGTTGTTCCTTCGACAACTTGCTTCAATCTCGGGATCAAATTTCGCGGGTGAATTCCCACTAGACCTCGTGATCATGCAAGTACCTATCAAAATACACAAACAAAAAATAATATAATCAGGAGCTAAAATATGAAATAAAAGTATGACTAAACTAATATCTACCCGTCTTTTTCTAATATTAATTAATTTTAACAGAACAATCCCTGACAACGGCAACAGAAACTTGCTCGCAATATATTTTCACTACCCGCAAGTGTACGTTATAGTTATAGTAAGCGGCGAGCAACGTCGTATTCCACAGAGATTGTTATTAAAATAATTAAGTACCAAAATATTGACGATTAAATATTATTTAGACTAACTCATATTTGAATGGAGATTTTATTCTAAACTATTGAATGAATGAAAAATAAATTCTAACACTAATGAAGTCTTGTTATACGATAAATTAAGAATGAGAAAATAGATTCTAGGCTATGCTTTCCTCGAGATTATTCTAACAAAGATTTCTTATTCATTCAAACCTTATTTAATTCTATCGCTAAATTAATTTACACCTTTCTCTCAAACAAGTGAAATCGTAGATATTAATTGTTATCTATCTCCTCTCGGTCTCAAGATGAACAACTAACTCACATAAGTTCCTAAGATTCTAGTTCCCTCGCAAGATTCTATCAACCTCTCGGTCTGTTTTGTCTCTTATGTTATGAATTTCCCAATTCTAGCAATCAACTATCTCCTCTTGGTCTCAAGTCAATCACAAATATGCACAAATACGGGCCCTATATTCACGCAATTCATATAAGCACAAGAAATTGATAAGCGAATGATAAACCGGAATGAATAAACAAAATTACTTCATAAAATAATCCGAGTACTCACAAATCCTAGAATCCCTAAAAGGTTTAGCTACTAAACATATTCTCAAAACTCAAAATAAGTAAATCCATGAGTTCAATGAAGAAGAAAAAGAGAAAAGAAAGAAGAACTATTGTCGCCGTTAGTTCCCGAATCTTCAATCTTGACTTCCTCGAATTCTTCGTGTGTTTCGTGATTTCTCTAGGCCTCCAAAGGTGTCAAAAATCCCAAAATCAAATTCTCCAAGTCCCTTTTATAGTGTAGGGCAATTATGAGTCAAAAAAGGGAAGAAATCGCATATAATCCTAGTCCTCGCAGAACTGGTCTGCGCGCCACACGACTCGTGTCACCAACTCACACGAGTCGTGTGACATTTCTCCAATTTTCGCCAAACTCAGACTCACACGACCGGGTCACACGACCCATGTGAGGCCATGACCCGTGTCACATTGCCACACGACCCGTGTCACCTACCACACGACTCGTGTGAAAATGCCGTAACGAAAAGTCCCTTTTTTCTCACTCACACGACTGGTGTCACTGTCCCACACGAGTCGTGTGTCCTCAACTGCAGCTGTTTTCGTCGTTTTTCATCCCGACTCCATTTTTAACGCTTTTTTGGGCATATTTCCTACAAAACTAACGACAAAAAGTACTTCTATCATAGATTAATAAATAAAACATAATGGTGCACAATCGAACGATAAACACAGCTAAATATCACAATATATCACTCATAATGCATGAAAATATGATGAATGTCAGAGAGAAATAAAAAGAGAGCTAATTTCCCAACTAAAAAGTTGGGAAATGAGGGTGGTGTCCAAGAATATAAAGCACGATGTCTATTTATAGCTACACCATAAATACACTAGAAACACACACATTTAATGAATTATGCAGTTCGACGGGTCTCGAAACGGGTTTCGCAGCGAGTGTGCATGGTGGGAAAGAGTTGTCTCAGGTCGGACTCGCGGCATCGCGGGAGGTAGCTCGCTGGCGAGCTGGGTGCTTGGTGGACTCGCGCGGGCGCAAAGTGGAAGTCACTGGCGAGGTGCTGCTCGTGGACAGGTCTCGCGCGGTCGTGAAACGCCAGTCGCCTGGCGAGTGTGCATGCGCTGCTGGAAAAACACTCACGACCTAGGCGAAGTGTTTCGCGACCGCGAAATGGTAGCAGCGCATGGGCGCAGGACTCACGGGCACGCGGAAGCTGGTATGCGGCGAGCTGGCACGGGTCGTCTCAAGTGCTCGCGACTGGGATCTCGCGACGAGTGCAGGGCAATTAGGGGCAGGTCGTCTTGTGCCAGGGCTCGCGTGCTCGCGACTGGGCGTACGCAGCGAGTGCCAGGCGCGGCTAGTGCACGGGCAGGGATTCGGTTAGGGCCCAAGATGGCTCGGGTGACTTTGAATAATAGGCACTCGATCTCGACTCTTGCGCAAGGGACTCGGCTCGATTTCTCATCTTAGCTTTTCAAACAAAATGACCTATAAACCACCAAAAGATACGACAACGTACCCCAAAACCCAAAAAAGAACAAAGATAAAAAGGAAAGAAAAACAAAAAAACGACAAAATAGACCGGTTGACACTAAAACAAACCTAGACACGAATAAGGCAAGAAAAACACACGAAAAACATCATAAAAACATAACAAACAGTAAATTACTCAGTTAGTTTAGATATGCGATTCGTAAGCCATGCGGAAATATGTCGCACAATCATAAAATATGTGATTTTCGGTTTGGATACGCGATTATATAATATGCATAAGTGTTGCGCATACTTGTTACCTATGCGTCCGATTCGGATATTTGAGACGTAATATATGTGAAAACTTGTCACATATTGTAAAATATATGGCTATCAATTTGTGTATGTGATAAATATATATGCAAAATAAGTTCGCATAAAAAATATTATGAAATGGATTTGGATATGCGATAACAGAATATGCAAAAAGTTTTCGCAAAGGGTAAATTATTTGGTGAAAAGATATGCGATTCGTAAGCTATGCGGCAATATGTCGCATAATCATAAAATAAGCGATTTTTTCGATTTGGATATAATATACGTAAGTGTTTCGCATACTTGTTAACTATGTCTCTGATTTGGATATCTGACCTTGTCGTATATCATAAAATATGCGGCTATCAATTTGGATATGCGATAAATATATATGCGCAATAAATTCGTATAAAAAAATAATGCTGTGGATTTGGACATGTGATTACAGAATATGCGAAAAATTTTTGCATACGTGATTTACTAGCTATGTGGCAATATGTCGGATAATCATAAAATATGCTATTTTGGATTTGGATACGCGATTATATATAAAATATACGTAAGTGTTTCGGATACTTGTGAACTATGTGTCTGATATGGAAATATGAGACGAAAAATATGCCAAAACTTATCGCATATCGTAAAATATGCGGCTATAAATTTGGATATGCGATAACTACATATGCAAAATAAATTCGGCGGATGAAAAAATTTATGCGGTGAATTTGGATATACGATTAATAAATATTCGAATACGTTTCGGATAAATTAATTTTAATTATGCGTCTGTTTTGAATATGCGTTATAATATATACGAGAAAATCTCGCATAATTGTTTATTATGCGGCCCGTTTGGATATGTGATTTTTATATCATATATATTTTTGTGACTCGTGGGATGAAAAAGAATTTTTTTTAATAAATAAAAGAAATTAATTTCGATCAACAAGGAAATTATCCCTCAAAACATTTGGGCTTGCTTGGTGATCAAGAAATTAGCTTTTAACTAATTTCGATCTTTATTGTAAAATCAAGCTTGTACAAGGAAATGGATGCTTAATTAGTACATCATCATCATCATCATCATAATTACTACATATATCATGCGGGAATGGCGAGCCTTGGAAATTTACACTTGCCAGTAGCTGCAAAGGATATAGAATAAATTATAATTAATACTACTACTACTAATAATAATAATTATAATAATAATAATGAATGAATGATAGATATACGTGGCTTACAGGGGTCATCGTGGATTAGATCTCCTATTTCTAGATTGCAATTGCGCGTGTCATGCAGGATACAACTAAGCAAATAGGATGCCTCCATTCTGAGATCATTGCCGAAGTAACATGGTTTACCTTTTTTTATCTGACTGCAGTTGATTCTTTTACACGTAGATGTTATGTATTGTTTGAGAGCTGGTGTCACTATTTCAGGCCTCGCTACACACCACGAAATCTTCATTTCCGAGTCGCTCAACGGAGGCGTGCGTTGAATTGGACGTCGTTGTACGGTTGGAGGAGGCGGTGTGTGGCGTCTCTGTCTGCTACTTCTACTGCCTTGGTTGCCTGTGCGAACTGTGGAGGTCCCATATAAGATTAAGAAGAGGAACCACAACAACACATTCCATCGCCCTATGCACCCCATTCTATATTCTTCCTTTTTTTTCCTTAATTACATTACATGCATCCACATTATAAATTCGGTTGTTATGTATATAATATAATATACATTTGCTTTCCTTTTTCATAATAATTACGGATAAAAACCAAGTTAATGCATTAGATATGTGCAAATTATTTTTCATGATTTCTCAACAATTATACCACCTTCTATCCACACCTTGCTTTAATCAATTGAAAAATAGAAAAATTATATATAAAATACACTTTCTATCTCTTTTGCTTTCTATAACTTTCTCCGTTTCTCTCAAATTCATTTGGAATTTAGTCTTCTTACCTACAATGAGTTTTGGTGCATATTATTTTACAACTTTGAAGAGTTTGATTTTTAGACGAAGCTGTTTATATATAATTAATTTTATAGTATTTTGATATCTGGTAGTCATGGCAATAGTGTAGTGTCCCAGGAAGCGGTTCATCGTGCTTAGCCATTTTATCTTGCATAATCTGTTCTACACAAATTATTTCATTTCACCTACTAATTTAACTATATTAGCCTAATAAATTTAACGGGCATATTCATAATTTTTAGACACAATTGAATAACTCATAAACATGTAATTCTATCATTTTATCAAATACGGATCTTTTGCATTAATTAAACTAGTATGGTAGCCCGTGCGATGCACGGGTCAATAATTATAAATTGCATGTATTATAGCAATGAAAGAATAATGAGTAGTTTAAAATAATTTTAAATACTAATATTTTTTATTTTATAATATATAATAATTTAACATATGATTTATATGTTTATTTCACCCGTTATAAAATAACTATCCTTTTAGAGTTCCTGTTTAAAATTAAGGATAATGAACATTTAACATATTCAAATATTTTCATAAATAATACTAACTAGTACAATACCCGTGTACTACACGAGCATTAAAATAAATAATATTTGCATACAAATATTTTTCTTAAAAAAATATATTAGTAATTTTGTTTTATTAACTAAAAATATTTGCATACGGAGAATTTATTAGTTTAATTTTAAAATTTAAATATACATACATTTAGACTCAAAATTCTTAAATTACTACTAATAATTTAATTGGGAAATCTACACTATCACAAAAATAAAATTTTAAGAAAAAGCATAAATTTAAGGTGGCTTTATTTTTTTATTTGAACAAATATAATTAACAATATGGTTTTAAAATTTTGATTTCTAATAATTAACATTGTTATTGAAAAAAAATTAAAGTAATAGTACAAATTTATATATTTGGATTCTTTATAATTTTATAAAATTATACATGTGGTTTACTAAACTAACTAAAACAATTCTGTGTGACATTACCAAGGTTTTATTACGAATTATATATATTCTTTCAATTAATTGAAGTTCATTGCTGTTAAATTAGATTTGACATATATAACTCACACCTCAAAAATGAAATATTGGTAAATTTCTTCTACCAATTACAAAGCTCAAACAATTAATAGTGATTGGCATAATTAGGAAATAAGTTTCTCTGCATAAATTGTTACTAGTACGTAGCCCGTGCGATGCACGGGACATAAGTATTAAATGAGTCATTTCCACATAACTTGTCTGTTAGTAGCTCGTGCAATTCATGAGAGATATTAAATGAGTGAACAATAGGGCTTGTCAGTTTAGGCCTAAAAAATAATTGAATTTGATTATCTATTTTTTTACCTCTTTCATCAACGTCATCTTTTTTGCCGAGACATTAAACCCGAGCCCAGTAGCGTTAGCCCGTAATATATTATCTCGCTCACATGTTTATAATAATATAAATTTAATTTCATTATATATATTTATTCTTAGATATAAGAAAAATAATAATTTTACGTAATTTTGTTCCTCGTATAATACTCATATTATTTTATTATAAAATTTATTGTAATATAATGTAATTTTTATTATTTATACAAGTTATAGATGTAGTCTTCTTCTTCTTTTTATTTTATGTAATTAAAATATTTAATGCATGTTAATATTATTTATTAATGTAATTAATTTAAATTATGTAAATAAATTTAAAGTAAAACATTTTGTACAAACATTTTACAAAATATACACAAATATTTATTTAGAATTTATTTTTTTTATAATAAATAAACATATTTGAAATTCTATGCAATTATTAAACATCCTCGATATAAATTCGAAATCATACTTGAACTCTATGCAATTATTAATTCCGTCCGATGTTATGGGAAACAAATCATTCGGAAATGTAATAAAATGATAAAGAATTTTAAAATTTAAATTTTAAATAAGACATATTTTTACTTGAACTCTATGCAATTATTATTTTGTCCGATTTTATGGCAAACAATTCATTTAAGATTTTAATGTAACAAAATAATAAAAAATTTTAAGATTTAAATTTAAATTTGAAATGAGACATGTTTTTACTTTGAGTCTATATGTCCGATTTAATTGCAAAACACATCAATTAAGGATGTAATTAATGTAGACCGATTTTTTAACTATAAAATAATAATACAATTGGAAAAATGATGGAAATAGAATGCATTAATTGTCCTTTGACTTTTCTTCATACTAAATTTAGTAAATAGGATGGCTTATTATATAAGTATAGATTCAATTTCTTAATGCAAAGGACTCGGTAATGGTAGATTATTTTTAAAAAAATCCGAACATTTTGAGATTATTTGTAAAAGACTTATAAGATTTTCAAATCAACCCGGACTTTGAATGGAAGCTTCATTCATTTGGAAAGAATAGAAACACTCGTAATCAATTTATCCATCAATTTTAAAACATACGCTATGCGAATGGAATTTTATGTTACTCCAATTGAATTGGTCCATTAATATTAATATAATATATAATATACAATGGATAAATTAACAAACCTAAAAGTAGAACATCACAAAATTAAGAAAACAATACCAAGGAATCGTTTGGTAATTTATATACACCTGCTTGCAACAATATATGCTTGATTCAACCATATATGCAATAGATTTAAGTTACATTGCCGATTAAAAATTGTACATAAATTTCAGGGTCGACGCATATGCGTGGACTGAACTTTATATCGTTGGTGGTCACCTTGCAGAACTCCAACATAGGTGAATTAGCATGACAAATAAAGTTGTTAATTAAAAGTTCAAAGAAATATCAACTTCACCCTAGCTATTCACAAATTTTTTTCGTATCCTACCATTGCCACAAATTTCATCCATCTAGGGTTTTCGACAATGACATCTCAATCTAAATCCAACCAGGACAACGACCTAGCAGATCGATTACGAGATATTTCACTTTCTGACAGGGAGGTGATTATCATAGATATCGCTCAAGACGACATCAAATTGAGTGATGATGAATGCCAAAGAAGTCTTTTTGATTAAATTATTGACGACCGGGCGGCAAGCTGGTTTGGTGTAAAGAGAGCAATGACGGACATATGGAAACTCAGCCAATCAATTGAGGTAAATGAACTCAGTCCAAACTACTTTCAATTTATTTTTCAAAGCAAGGAGGATATGAAAACAGTGGCAGGAGGTACGAATTGGAGTTTTGAGAATCAATATCTCATACTCAGAGAATGGAACAACAGTATCAACAGTAAACATCCCAGCTTTCAAGAACTCAATCTTTGGGTTCAGGTTTTTAATGCCCCCCTAAACTTGATAAGTACAGAAGTTGGTCTCAAGATTGGCAGAGCTTTTAAGAATAAAATGTAGTCATAGCAAGCACTAGAAATCGTGGAAGAAAGCTGCTTAGACTCTTGGTCACATTAAATTTGGAAGAACCTCTTCCAAGAGTAGCTACTATCCGGTTAGGAGAACAAACTGTTAAAGTCTGTTTTAAATAGGAAAAGCTTATGAACCTCTGTCATTATTGTGGTAAAATTAGGCACTTGGACCGTAGTTGTCAGAGAAGAATGGAGGATATTAAGAACAACTCATTAAATGAGGGCCAATATGGAGACTGGATGAAGGCAAATGAGGGGCAGAAATTGCTCACAGTTAGTATCTTAGGTTCCAGAAGCTCACCACCACCGGACTCCCCAACCCCCACAGAACAAAAAACACCACAAAGAGCATCTACCAATCAGGGAGAGGGGAGCCAACAAGCAAGCCCAACTCGGGGAGAGATACATTTTTCTGATAAATCAGTAGGAGCCACATCCTTTGCTCCTGCAGCAAATAATTTCAGTCAAGAAGAGAATAGTGAAAGGGTTATTGTAGAAGCTAACGCTCAAATAGTAGAAACAACATTAATGGAAATAGAGAATGCAGGCATAGTAACCATTCAAGAGGACCCATAGATCAACCTGAAAGCCATTGTCCCTAGCATAGAGCCTCTTAAAACATGGAAAAAAGTTGGTACCAGAGTAGGTAGATTGCAAAGAAACATTTAGGTTTCTAAAATTACTGATACTGGAAACAAAAGGTCCAAACAAGAGGAGGATGCAGAAACAACTTCTTGGGAGAACACCAAACTTAAGCAGGTAGAAACCAAGAAGTTAAAAACCAAAATGGGAAAGGTGGGGGATGCCAGCTTGAAGTGGCACCACAGTGGCCCATGTTAGCTATGGTGTGGAATTGTAGAGGGATGGGTGGGCCCTCTACAATTTCCCAAATCTGAGAGTTAAAAAGAACTCACCACCCACATTTCATCTTTATTTCTGAAACCAAAAATTCAGCAGCTTTTGTGAAGTCAGTTAGCAAGAAATTGGGTTTTGATAATAGAGTGTCTACAGTAGAACCACAAGGCCTCAGTGGGGGACTTGCATTGTTTTGGAGAAATTAGATAGACTTCAAACATATATAGAGTTTTATATTGTAGTAAATTTCCAGTTACAGTCATCATTGCCTCAATGGGGGGTATTTGTATACCTCAGCACAAGTAGATTGCTCAGAGAGTCCCGATGGGCAGAATTGCTAGAAGCTAGAAGCAAATGGGGAGATGTTTGGTTCTCAATAGGTGATTGGAATGACATACTATCCAAGGAT